TTTTTTCTTTTTGTGAGTGTGTATGTGTATGCTTCTTTGTGTGACTTTCTCTGTATAGCTTTGCTTTTACCATTTGTCTTAGGGTTCTCTCTGACCTTTTTTTCTTTATTACTTTTTAATTATTTTTTATTTTTAATAACATTTTTAATTTTAATCATTTTCTTTGATTTTATTATTTTCTTTCTTTCTTTCCTTCTTTCTTTCTTTCCTTCTTTCTTTCTTCCTTCCTTTCTTTCTTTCTTTCTTTCTTTTTTTTCTTTCTTTCTTTTCTGCCTTTTTTTCTGAGCCACATGGCTGACAGGGTCTCAGTGCTTCAGCTGGGTGTCAGGCCTATGCCTCTGAGATGCGAGAGTCATGTTCAGTACACTGGTCCACCAGAGACCTCCTGGCTCCACATAATAACAAGTGGCAAAAGCTCTCCCAAAGACCTGCATCTCAATGCTAAGACCCAGCTCCACTCAACGACCAGCAAGCTGCAGTGCTGGACACCCAATGTCAAACAACTACCAACACAGGAACACAACCCCACCCATTAGCACAGAGGCTGCCTAAAATCATAATAAGGTCACAGACACCCCAAAACACACGACTGGCCGAGGTTCTGGCCACCAGAAAGACAAGATCCAGCCTCATCCACCAGAACACAGGCAACAGTCCCCTCCGCCAGGAAGCTTACACAACCCAGTCAACCAACCTTACCCACTGGAGGCAGACACCAAAAACAACGGTAACTGGGAAGCTGCAGCCTGCTAAAAGTAGACTCCAAACACAGTAAGTTAAGCAAAATCAGAAGACAGAGAAACGCACAACAGATGAAGGAGCAAGGTAAAAACCCATCAGACCAAACAAATGAAAAAGAAATAGGCAGTATATCTGAAAAGGATTCAGAGTAATGATAGTAAAGATGATCCAAAACCTTGGAAACAGAATGGAGAAAATATAAGAAATGTTTAACAAGGACCTAGAAGAACTAAAGAGCAAACAAACAATGATGAACAACACAGTAAATGAAATTAAAAATTCTCTGGAAGGAATGAATAGCAGAATAACTGAGGCAGAGGAACGGATAAGTGACCTGGAAGATAAAACAGTGGAAATAACTACTGCAGAGCAGAATAAAGAAAAAAGAATGAAAAGAATTGAGGACAGTCTCAGAGGTCTCTGGGACAATATTAAATGCAACAATATCCTAATTATAGGGGTCCCAGAAGAAGAAGAGAAAAAGAAAGGGACTGAGAAAATATTTGAAGAGATTAGAGTTGAACACTTCCCTAATATAGGAAAGGACATAGTCAATCAAGTCCAAGAAGCACAGAGAGTCCCATACAGGATAAATTCAAGGAGAAACATGCCAAGACACATATTTTCAAACTATCAAAAATTAAACACAAAGAAAAAGTATTAAAACAGCAAGGGAAAAACAATATATAACATACAAGGGAATCCACATAAGGTTAACAGCTGACCTTTCAGCAGAAACTCTGCAAGCCAGAAGGCAATAGCAGGACATATTTAAAGTGATGAAAGGGAAAAACCTACAACCAAGATTACTCTACACAGCAAGGATCTCATTCAGATTTGACGGAGAAATTAAAAACTTTACAGAAAAGCAAAAGCTAAGAGAATTCAGCACTACCAAACCACCTTTACAACAAATGCTAAAGGAACTTCTCTAGGCAGGAAACACAGAGAAGGAAAAGATCTACAATAACAAACCCAAAACAGTTAAGAAAATGGTAATAGGAGCATACATATTGATAACTACCTTAAATGTAAATGGATTAAATGCTCCAACCAAAATTCCTAGACTGGCTAAATGGAAACAAAAATGAGACCTGTACATATGCTGTCTACAAGAGGTTCATTTCAGACCTAGGGACACATACAGACTGAAAGTGAGCAGATGGAAAAAGATATTCCATGCAAATGGAAATCAAAAGAAAGCTGGATTACCAATTCTTATAACAGACAAAATAGATTTTAAAATAAAGACTATTACAAGAGACAAAAAAAAGCCACTACATAATGATCAAGGGATCAATCCAAGAAGAAGATATAACAATGGTAAATATTTATGCACCCAACATAGGATCACCTCAATACATAAGGCAAATGCTAACAGCCATAAAACGGAAATTGACAGTAAAAAAAATAATAGTTGGGAACTTTAACACTGTACTTTCACCAATGGACAGATCATCCAAAATGAAAATAAATAAGGAAACACAAGCTTTAAATGATATATTAAAAAAGGTGGACTTAACTGATATTTATAGGACATTCCATCCAAAAACAACAGAATACCCTTTCTTCTCAAGTGCTCATGGAACATTCTCCAGGATAGATCATATCTTGGGTCACAAATCAAGCCTTGGTAAATTTAAGAAAATTGAAATCATATCACGTATGTTTTCGGACAACAATGCTATGAGACTACATATCAGTTACAGGAAAAAATTCTGTAAAAAATACAAACACATGGAGGCTAAACAATACACTACTAAATAACCAAGTGATTACTGAAGAAATAAAAAAATACCTAGAAACAAAATGAAAACGTGACGACACAAAACTTATGGGATGCAGCAAAAGCAGTTTTAAGAGGGAAGTTTATAGCAATACAGTCCTACTTCAAGAAACATCTCAAATAAACAAGCTAACCTTACACCTAAAGCAATTAGGGAAAGAAGAGCAAAGAAACCCCAAAGTTAGCAGAAGGAAAGAAATCATAAGGATCAGATCAGAAATAAATTTTTAAAAAATGAAGGAAACAATAGCAAAGATCAATAAAACTAAAAGCTGTTTTTGTTTGAGAAGATAAACAAAATTGATAAACCATTAGCCAGACTCATCAAGAAAAAAAGAGAGAAGACTCAAGTCAATTGAATTAGAAATGAAAAAGGAAAAGTAACAACGCACACTTCAGAAATACAAAGAACTATCACCGATTACTACGAGCAACTATATGCCAATAAAATGGACAACCTGGAAGAAATGGACACATTCTTCGAAAAGTACAACCTTCCGAGACTGAACCAGGAAGAGGTAGAAAATATAAACTGACCAATCACAAGCACTGAAATTGAGACTGTGATTAAAAATTTTCCAACAAACAAAAGCTCAGGACCAGATGGCTTCAGAGGCAGATTCTATCAACATTTAGAGAAGAGCTAACAGCTATCCTTCTCAAACTCTTCCAAAATATAGCAGAGGGAGGAACACTCCCAAACTCATTCTAACAGGCCACCCACCCTCATACGAAAACCAAAGGAAGATGTCCCAAAAAAGAAAACTACAGGCCAATATCACTGATGAACATAGATGCAAAAATCGTCAACAAAATACTCACCAACAGAATCCAACAGCACATTAAAAGGATCATACACCATAATCAAGTGGGGTTTATCCCAGGAATGCAAGGATTCTTCAATATATGCAAATCAATCAATGTGATTAACCATATTAACAAATTGAAGGAGAAAAACCATGTGATCATCTGAACAGATGCAGAAAAAGCTTTTGACAAAATTCAACACCAATTTATGATAAAATACCCTCCAGAAAGTAGGCATAGAGGGAACTTACCTCAACATAATAAAGGGTGTATATGACAAACCCACTGTTAGCATCATCCTCAATGGTGAAAATCTGAAACCGTTTCCTCTACGATCAGGAACAAGACAAGGTTTTCCATTCTCACCACTGTTATTCAACATAGTTTTGGAAGTTTTAGACACAGAAATCAGAGAAGAAAAAGAAATAAAAGAAATCCAAATTGGAAAACAAAAGTAAAGCTGTCACTGTTTGCAGATGATGTGATACTATACATAGAGAATCCTAAAGATGCTACCAGAAAACCACTAGAGCTAATCAATGAATTTGGTAAAGTAGCAGGATACAAAATTGATGCACAGAAATGTCTTGCATTCCTATACACTAATGATGAAAAATCTGAAAGAGAAATCAAGGAAACACTCCCATTTACCCCTGCAACAAAAAGAATAAAATACCTAGGAATAAACCCACCTAAGGAAACAAGAGTCCTGGATGCAGAAAAGTATAAGACAGTGATGAAAGAAATGAAAGATTATACAAATAGATGGAGAGATATACCATGTTCTTGGATTGGAAGAATCAATATAGTGAAATGACTATACTACCCAACACAATCTACAGATTCAGTGCAATCCTTATCAAACTACCAATGGCATTTTTCACAGAACTAGAACAAAATATTTCACAATTTGTATAGAAACACAAAAGACCCCTAATAGAGAAAGCAATCTTAAGGAAGAAAAACGGAGCTCAGGGAATCAGGCTCCTGGATTTCAGACTATGCTACAAAGCTGCAGTAATCAAGACAGTATGGTACTGGCACAAAAACAGAAATATAGACCAATGGAACAGGATAGAAAGCCCAGAGATAAACCCATGCACCTATGGTCACCTTATTTTTGATAAAGGAGGCAAGAATATACAATGGCGAAAAGACAGCCTCTTCAATAAGTGGTGCTGGGAAAATTGGACAGCTACATGTAAAAGAATGAAATTAGAAGACTTCCTAACACCATACACAAAAACAAACTCAAAATGGATTAAAGTACTAAATTCAAGGCCAGACACTATCAAACTCTTAGAGGAAAACATAGGAAGAACACTCTAGGACATAGATCACAGCAGGATCCTATTTGACCCACCTCCTAGAGAAATGGAAATAAAAACAAAAATAAACAAATGGGACCTAATGTAACTTAAAAGCTTTTGCATAGCAAAGGAAACCATAAAAAAGACAAAAAGACAACCCTCAGAATGGGAGAAGATATTTGGAATTGAAGAAACAGGCAAAGGATTAATCTCCAAAATTTACAAGCAGCTCATGCAGCTCAATATCAAAAAAACACACAACCCAATCCAAAAAGGGGCAGAAGAATTAGGAGTGGGCGGGACTTCTGGCTCCTACCTGAAGGAGGTCGTTTGGCTGCTTTTGCTGCCGTCTGCAGGACCCGAGGCTCAGGATCACTCAGTGGAGCCGAGCTTAGAGAAACTGGAAAGAGCCCGAGGGGCGCCGTCCACACTGCCCAGGAGTGGGCGGGTTGTGGAACCCACTTCCAGGATTTTTGGCCTAGGTCTCCGCCATTATCCTGTGCGTCTCCTGGCACCACCGCGACCACAGGGTCCTATGTCAACCAATGCGGTGCAGGACCCAGCCCAGAGTCCATGGCTTTTCATTGGCTAAGTCCTTTCCAGGAAAGAAGGAGACTTCATCCATTTGGATTCCGTTATTGTTTCAGGTTCCCATGGTAGCAGCAGCATTTATGGTCCCTGGACAGGGCCATGTGATCTTTGAGGATGTGGCTGTGTCCTTCTCCCAGGAGGAGTGGGGTCTCCTTAACGATGCTCAGAGACTCCTGTACTGTGACATGATGCTGGAGAACCTGTCACTTATAGCCTCCCTGGGTTGTTAGCATGGAGTAGAAGCTGAGGAGGCCGTTTCTGAACAATGTGTTTCTGTAGAACAAGTGACAGAAGACAGGAATCCAAAGCTGGAGCCATCTATCCTGAAGCCTCTGTATTCCGATACGAGCGTCCTGGTGGAGAAAGATGTTTTGTACTTGGCTGACAATATGTTCACGTGCAGAGAGGTTGAGAAGGCTTTCCTAGGCAGCTTAGGCTTTCCCCAGCACCAGCCCTCCCACGATGGAGAGCATCCACGTAGAAGTAGGCAGAGAAGGGAGGTCTCTCACCCTGGGCAAGAGCATCACAAGTGCAGTGAATGTGGCAAAGCCTTCAGTAAAAAGTTTAAATTCGCAGAGCACCTGAGAGTTCACACTGGAGAAAAACCTTATGAGTGCAGTGACTGTGGGAAGTTCTTTAGACACAGCTCCAGTCTTATTCATCATCGGAAAGTTCACACAGGAGAAAGGCCTTATGAGTGCTGTAATTGTGAGAAAGTCTTTGCCCACAAATATAAACTTTTTGAGCACCAGAGAATCCACACTGGAAAAAGACCATATGAGTGTAATTAATGTGGGAAAGCCTTACTTTGCAAGGATTCACTTGTTCAGCACCAAAAAATCCACACTGGAGAAAATCCTCATAAGTGTGGTGAATGTGGAAAGTGCTTCCTGTACAAAAATAACCTTCTTGTGCACCAGAGGATCCACAGTGGAGAAAGGCCTTATGGGTGCAGCAAATGTGGAAAGTCCTTTGTCTTCAAAAAAAGGCTTCTTTATCACCAGCGAATCCAGACTGCAGAAAGGCCTTACATGTGCTGTGAATGTGGGAAAGCCTATGTCTACAAAGGAAGTCTTATTGTGCATAAGAGAATTCACACTTTAGAGAAGGCTTATGGGTGTAACAAATGTGGGAAATTCTTTACAAGCAGTTTTGCCTTCAATAGACATGAGGATGTTCACACTGCATGAAGGCGTTATGAGTGCAGCGAATGTGGGAAAGCTCTCAATGGCAAAGTTAAACTTGCTGAGCACCAGAGAATCCATAATGGAGAAAGACCCTATAAGTGTAATGAATGTGAGAAAGCCTTCATGCGCAAGTATACACTTGTTCAGCACCAAAAAGTCCACACTGGAGTAAAGCCTTTTAAATGCAGTGAATGTGGGAAGCCCTTCACTTACAAAACAAGTCTTGCTGTCCATCAGAGAATCCACACTAGAGAAAGGCCTTATATGTGCAGTGAATGTGGGGAAGTCTTTGTCTACAAAGACATTTCTCCAAATAAGATATACAGATTGCCAACAAACACATGAAAGAATGCTCAACGTCACTAATCATTAGAGAAATGCAAATCAAAACTGCAATGAGGTATGACCTCACACCAGTCAGAATGGCCATCGTCAAATAATCTACAAACAATAAATGCTGGAGAGGTCTGGAGAAAAGGGAACCCTTTTGCACTGCTGGTGGAAATGTAAATTGATACAGCCACTATGGAGAACAGTATGGAGATTCCTTACAAAACTAAAAATAGAACTACCATAGGAGCCAGCAATCACACTACTGGGCATACACCCTGAGAAAACCATAATTCAAGTAGAGTCATTTACCAGAATGTTCATTGCAGCTCTATTTACAATAGCCAGGACATGGAATCAATGTATGTGTCCATCGACAGATGAATGGATAAAGATGATGTGACCCATATATACAATGGAATATTACTCAGCCATTAAAAGAAATGAAATTGAGTTATTCATAGTGAGGTGGATGGACCTAGAGTCTGTCATACAGAGTGAAGTAAGTCAGAAAGAGACAAACAAATACCATATGCTAACACATATATATGGAATCTAAAAAAAAAAAAGTCATGAAGAACCTAGGGGCAAGACAGGAATAAAGATACAGACCTACTAGAGAATGGACTTGAGCATATTGGGAGGGGGAAGGGTAAGCTGGGACAAAGTGAGAGAGTGGCATGGACATATATACACTACCAAACGTAAAATAGATAGGTAGTTGGAAGCAGCTGCATAGCACAGGGAGATCAGCTCGGTGCTTTGTGACCACCTAGAGGGGTGGGATAGGGAGGGTGGGAGGGAGACGCAAGAGGGAGGAGATATGGGGATATATGTATAGCTGATTCACTTTGTTATAGCAGAAACTAGCACACCATTTTAAAGCAATTATATTCCAACAAAATTTTGAAACAAATAAACAAAAAACCCAAAAATTGCATTTTAGCACAGGCATCCAAGGGTGCCAAGAACTTGACAGCATGACAGCTAGTGAAAGAGGAAGCCAAGGCAGTTAGGGGTGGCCTCCAATTCATGGTTGACAGCCAGGGATAATTTGTGGTTAACAGATCAGGAAAACTCACAGCATATACATGCGTCCTCACTCTGAAAGTGCTGTGAGTGAGATTGTCTCAGTGGAGTCTGTGCCTAGCTTTTTTTTTTTTTTTTTGCCTAGCTTTGAACTTTAAACACTGACTGTTTAGTGTGGCAGTATCTCTAAGTCGTCTTAAGTTACTTACCTCACTTTAAATAGTGATATATGTGATGTATAAGCTAGTTTATTCTAGACTTTAAGCCTATGTTTTGTTTTGTTTTTATTGAATTTTACTTGATTTACAATGTTCTGTCAGTTTCTGGTGTACAGCAAATTGATTTATATATATCTATTGTTTTTCAGATTCTTTTCCATTATAGTTTATTATAAGATATTGAATATAATTCCTTGTGTTATACAGTAGGACCTTGTTGTTTTTGTATCTCTTAATCCCAACTCCTAATTTATCCCTCCACTCTCCCCACCCTTTGGTAACCATAACTTTATTTTCTAAGTCTTTGAGTCTGTTTCTGTTTAGATATGAACATAGATATGTTCATTTGTGTCATATTCTGGATTCCACATATAAGTGATATCATATCATATTTGTCTTTCTCCTCCTGACTTACTTCACTTAGTGTGATAATCTCTAGATCCATCCATGTTGCTGCAGATGGCATTATTTCATTATTTTTTATGACTTAGTAGTATTTCATTGCATACATATACCACATCTTATTTATCCATTGATCTGTCAATGAACACTTGGGTTGCTTCCATGTCTTGGCTATTGTGAAAAGTGCTGCTATGAATATTGGGTTACATGTATCTTTTTGAATTAGAGTTTTCTCCAGATATATGCTCAGGAGTGGGATTACTGAATCATGTGATAACTCTATTATTAATTTTTGAAGAAACCTCCATACTGTTGTCCGTAGTGGTTGTACCAATTTACATTTCCTCCAACAGTGTAGGAGGGTTCCCTTTTCTTCATACCCTCTCCAGCATTTGTTATTTGCAGACTTTTTAATGATGGCCACTCTGACTGGTGTGAGGTAAACATAAGGCCTTTGAATTGCCACTCACACTGCCTAGAACACCCTGTCCTCAGATTGTCAGCTTAAATGGCAGTTCTTCAGAAAGTCTTTCCTGAGCCCCTGTTTAAAGAAGTTAGATGCAATAGATTTCTGTTATATTACATTGCTTTATTATCTTGTAGCATATATCACTTTTTGGAATTATCTTAAAATTTTGTAATAGTATTTTTCTTTGTTGTAGGTATCCCCTTTCTAGTCTGGAAACTCTGAGAATAAGGACTTTCTCTGTCTCATTCACCAATGGATCCTCAGGACCTGGACTAGTCCCTGGCTTTTACGTCTCTGCACCTTCAAGGCAAGGATCATATCTTAGACAACTTGCCAAGTCTGATGCCACAGGACAGTAAGTGATTCCCATTAATACGTAGACTTATTTAGTAAATACAATTGAGCTTTGTAGATGTAACCAGTAGTGAACATTAAGTGAGCACCTTGTTGGAAAAAAGGGCCATTTTTCTCTTAATCAACTTTTAAATTAATTTAAAACCAGCTATTATTTTTGTGTATTTGTGTGTTCAGCTTGCATTTGAGCATCATTTTGTGACAGGTGCTTTGAGAAGTGAAAGAGAAGAGTACAAGGGGTCGTTGCCTTTCAAAGTCTTCTACTCTGTTCTGAAAGACATGGGTGAAGTTCATTTTCCTTTCTAATCTTTGGAAATGGTGCCTAGCTGTTCTTAGATAAATAATGCCTTTTTTTAAAAAAAAAGAATGAATAAATGGATAAAAGTAAAAATCACTGAATGAATGAAAAGAGGTGAATTAAGTGATAGGAGTTAGAACCAGATGCAGCCAGTCATCAGTCTTTGAGTCAGGGTGAAGAGATTTGATTGCATGAAGTCTTTGACTCATGAAGTAGACTTAATTTATTTTTCACCCAGTAGAAACCATTCACTGTTTCCTTGTGTTCATGTTATTGTTTCTTACTACCATGGGTTGTTCTTGATGTCCCTGTGGCTGAAATGCATGCTGATAATCTTTGTATGTTTAAAATCCATTCACTGAAGATAAAAGCAAACATCATCATCTCAGTGAAATAGTTTACTACCTCCCTTGCAGTAAGAAATTTCTCCACCTCTGAATTCCTAGAATGCTCTATTGACTCTCTGCCTGTCACACATAACCCTTTTCATCTTATATTGCCATTATTTATGTCTGCGTTTAATCTTCTCTTTTAGACTCAGCTCCTTGAGGGTGGGCTTATTGCTGATTTATCTGAGTAGCAAACTTTTAGTAATTCATTCAAAAAGTATTTACTGAAGACATTACATGTGAGGCAGAGTGCTAGTATTGGAGAAAGAGTTGTGAGCACCTAACATCGACAAGGCAAACACTAGTATGCCTTGGATTTTAGAGTTTAATAAAGAGCAGAGTATGAATGGCTTTTATTAGTTGAGCACATCAATTTGATGAGATAATTATCTTAGCATACTGTAGCTGAAGACATAGGTTTTATTTATTTATTTATTCTGGATAAATGCATTTACTTTTTTAAATTATAGTTCATGTAAAATATTATGTAAGTTACAGGTGTGCAATATAGTGATTCAAATTTTTTAAAGGTTACACTCCATTTATAGTTATTATAAAATATTGGCCTTATTCCCTCTGTTGTACCATGTATCCTTGTAGCTTATTTCATACATAATAGTTTGTACCTCTTAATCCCCTACCTGTTATGGCTCCTCCCCCCTTCCCTCTCCACACTGGTAACCACTAGATTGCTCTCTATGTCTGTGAGTCTGCTTTTTTTTGTTATTGTTTTTATATTCACTAGTTTGTTGTAGTTTTTACATTGCACATGAGCTATCATACAGTATTTGTCTTTCTCTGTCCCATTTATTTCACTTAGCATAATGCCCTCCAAGTCCATACATGTTGCTGCAGATGGCATTTTTTCATTATCTTTTATGGCTGAGTAGTATTCCATTGTGTATGTATACCACACCATCTTTTTTTTTAACATCTTTATTGAAGTATAATTGCTTTACAATGGTGTGTTAGTTTCTGCTTTATAACAAAGTGAATCAGCTATACATATATCCCCATATCTCCTCCCTCTTGAGTCTCCCTCCCACCCTCCCTATCCCACCCCTCTAGGTGGTGACAAAGCACTGAGCTGATCTCCTTGTGCTATGCAGCTGCTTCCCATTAGCTATCTATTTTACATTTGGTAGTATATATAAGCCTCTCACTTCGTCCCAGCTTATCTTTCCCCCTCCCCGTGTCCTGAAGTCCATTCTCTACATCTGTATCTTTATTCTTGTCCTGCCCCTAGGTTGTTCAGAACCATTTTCTTTTTTTCTTTTTTAGATTCCATATATATGTGTTAGCATACGGTATTTGTTTTTCTCTTTCTGACTTACTTCACTCTGTATGACAGACTCTAGGTCCATCCACCTCACTACAAATAACTCAATTTCATTTCTTTTAATGGCTGAGTAATATTCCATTGTATATATGTGCCACATCTTCTTTATGCATTCATCTGTCGATAGACACTTAGGTTGATTCCATGTCCTGGCTATTGTAAATAGAGCTGCAAT